CATGTTGAGGCCTCCAAATATGCGTTCGTTTAGGAGGAAAAAGAAAAAGAAAAAGAAAAAGAAGAATTCCTTCAATTACAATAGGGCCTTCGCACGTTCATGGCTCGGGCCATAATAATAATAATATAACTTAACCATACAAAACCGTGAAACCCATTTGAATCAGAAGCTGAGATGGCCGTTGCTGCTGAGCTAACGTTAGGCTAGTTAACGTTTTTTTTTTTTTTTTATGACTAGTTTAGATGTTTGTTTTTTGCCTTGACTGAATTAAGTTTCTTAGTTTAAATATGCTGGATAACAAATTAAAATTAAGCTCAGATGTCTCATATTTCAATGACAGGAAACAGCTGTGGGGGAAAAGTTTAGCTTTAGACAAGGCTAGCCATTTTTATCTCCAGCTAAGCTAGCTTTAACAAGATTTAGCTCCCTTGTGTTAGCTTTGTACAGTTTGGTTTTGTTGTGACTGCACATTTAACGTGCCGTTTTCTTTGGACTCATACATGACTGTGGCATAAAAATGGCAAAATAAATGTCAAGACAGTTTCTAGTCTTAACAAAATTTTGACTAAACTTTACAGCATTTTGGCTTTGTTTGGTAGTATAGTTTTGAAGCATGTATGATGATACAGGTGATACGTGTCTGATATTAAGCGACATCACATCAACTCACCACCACTTTTCCTTTGTGTGTCCTGACCGATGCTCCGAACCACTGGTGCGACTTAAACTCCAGAGGCTCTCTGGTGCCATTGACCTTTATCATCCTGTTATCTGGAGGGAGAGAAAGACAGAGACAGAGATAGAGAGAGAGAGAGAGAGAGAGAGGAAGTGGAAAACACATGAAAGAGACGTTTCATAATTGTATAATGGTGCCAATAAAAGCTGGTATTGACTGTGTTAATGTGGATCCAGGCCTGTAGCGCTGTCTGTGTGAATGGAAAGCATTTGTCCTTGATAAGCAAGAACAAACTGTAACATCTTACAGGCCTATAACAAACATCCAAACACTATTTGCCCCCCAGAAACAGACATTTGTCAGGATGCTGGAGGCTTTTTAAAAAAAATCAAAGCCTTTCCAATAAAATGTAACAAGACTTAAGATACTTACACACACACATAGGCTTGTATGCGCATTATGAGCATTTCCCAGTCGACTCACAATAAAGTGTCAGATTTGGTTAAAGCGTGCACGTGTGTCTTTGCTCTGCTGTGGATATTTTCCAGTGTTATTAAAGACCAGCTGGGTTTCTTTAGAGCTGTGCAGACCCCTCCCAATAAACACCTTCCTTTTTACAGATGCACACACACTTTAATGTGAAAGGAAGGTAGAAAATATAAATGCATAAAGGCAGGTGTATAGTGGAATTTTTCCCAATAAAAGTTATTCATATTTTCATCTTCTGAGGGAGTTTGTTATAGGGTTTATTTAATTATAAATGTATTTCTGATTTAATTTATTCTCACCACCATCATTTACTTATTTATTTGGTCAAGCCTACCTTCTTCCAAAGTATGTTTGCATGCTCTTATATAAATGATCGTGCAGCAATATCATAGACCTAAAGGTTAAAGAAGCAGGTTTGGAAATTGTGGGTGAAGGTAGTGAATGGCTGAAGTGTGAAGCTCTCAGATTTGTGGATGCATGGTACTGTTTGAATGTGAAGAAGGACATTACTGAGGAAAATAATTCTAATAAATAATTTCAAAACTGGATAATTTTCTGGGAGCAGAAACCCAGACGCAGGGTTTCTTTAATCATGCACGTGCAATCACTAATGTGTGCCTGTCACCATATGCATCCCGGTGTCATCCCACACACACATGCTCAGCCACATGTGAAACGGACGTATGGATATTAACCAGTACAGTACACGCATATGGTCCCCACTCGTGCTGATATTTTGTATAGTGTGCATATAAGTGTGTCTTTGTCTGGTTTATACCTGTAATAAAGGGTCTGCTGTAACTCTAGAAATATCCACCGTGGCCACTGCCATCAATCACCTTGTGCATACCCACTCATTCTAGTTAACAGATACACACGCACTTGTGTGAATACACACACACACACGACTACGCACACATTTGATCCTCTGTTTATTTTTATACCCCCAAAACCTGAAATTTCCCCCAAAGCACTTCACACTAAAACTAACCCCCTGTAAAACATATAACCTATGATTAACTTTAGGGAGAGCAAAGAAAATCGTCCTCGCTTTGGAGGTTTTACCCTCATCTGCATGGAGCCTCGCTTTAGTTCTGGCAGAACAATAAAGTTGTACTTGCATCAGCTGATGCTTGCGATTAAGCAGCTGTGTATATAACACGACAGTCCTCTGCTGATACCTTCATGCCACAATTACTCGCTGCTGCAGCTCCATCCGCAGCTAAAACTGTCTAATGTTCATACACAGCTTTCTCTGAGTTCTGTCTGATAAATTAGCTCTCTCTGTAGGTAGGTGTACTTGTTGCAGTAGACACCCTCAAAGAGCAAAACCACCACCAAAGTTATCTGTGCCATACAAGCTCAGTTCCTTCTCCTCTTTTATTTTTCTGGTCCTCACAAAGATGATAGGAATCCTCACAATAAGAGACAGAAAGAAAGCGAGGGGGATAGAGAGTGGGAAGGAGACAGGGATAAATTTTCAAGATCTAATAAAAAGCAGACCTCACCCAATCCCCCTTTCTTCCGAAGGGGAACTAAATTCCCATGTGCATACAGTTTAACCCCCCCCCACTCTGTCTTGCTCTCCCACTTGTTCTTTCTCTACCTCTTGCACACACACACACACACACACACACACACACACTTACTACTCAGATGGAAAAGTGTGCTTCAGAGACATTAGACACACAAACAAAGGCAGATTGGACCCTTGATGATAATATATTGAAAACCATAATCAACATGATGTAGGCTTGCATCAGCAGATCCGCAAGCCACCTTTTTTGTTCAATGAAGCTGATGAGACCCACATGTCTTATCTCTCTTTTTCATGCAACAACACATGTGCCAACTTATACACACACACACGCACACACATACCAGACACACAGGTTATGAAACTCCAGTGGTTCCAAATGGAGTAACATCTGGGGCCACCTATGGCTTTAAAAGGATCCACTTGGATCTCAGAGAAGTGAACGCTTGTTAAATTTCATTTGACTTAAACACTCTTAATAAAATAATGACATTGTTGCACATATGTCTCACATTCTGTCCAAATATAACAGTGAAGTTATTCCTTCCCATGTACTGTAACAACACAAATCTTTTACAACATAAGTCTATGGAACATATTTATACCCAGGAGTTCTGCCATGAATTTATTTTGATCCATGACATGAAAAAAAGAGAGAGAAAGCTTTCAGGTTGCTCACTTGAAATGTCAAAAGGTATCTGTCTGCAGCTGTCAGGGTGTCCAGGCCAGGGGCAGTAGTAGACGGCCCCTGCCTCCACAACGCCAGGCTGGGAGGTGTTCGCCTTGGGAGCCCCCACCAACACACTGATCCTGGAGGGGGAAAAGAGAAACCAAATGTACATGCAAGACATGCAGGATAGTGTACAAGGCGTTAAGCAAACTTGCGCTGTCAGTGCGCATTTTGGCTCATTCATACATTTCTTTTCTGTTCCATAATTCTGTTTTTCTCTGAATCATTCATGCGTCTTCTGTCACATTACAGTATGACATGCAGATTGTGCAGCTACTGGGATGATGAAACCTAATTTCTTTTTCATTTAAATATTTTTTTCCCACCTCATTTGGATTCAAGTAATTAAACTAGATGTACATGAACAGTTTAAGTGGAATTAGTGTATAAGTCCTGCAGGACCCTGATGGGACAACTTGAGTCCTGATGTTGCCACTCACGTGTTGCTGTCGGTGGTAGCTTGGTAGAAGTCCACAGAATAACCGAAATAACTTCCATCGGGTCCTCTGTAAACCGTAGGATGCTCTGCGTAAAGGTTAAAACTCCAAACTCCATTTAGCGCCGGCCAAAGCACCGACAGCACCCCGAGAATAAACATCCCAGCGGAGGAAACACAGTCCCACACACGCTCCATCATCCCCAAAGAACAGCCAGCTGCGCACTATTCCCAAAAAATGAGAGGGAACTGAAACAGAGAGAGAGAGAGAGAGTTTCCTCCGTGCAGGTAGGTTTCTCTCTGGATAAGTCGTCCAACTGCTTGTCACTGTATCACTGCGCTCCCCCCTAAAAAAACTGCCTCCTGACACCCTGAAACCCCCAGGTCTGTCCAGAGTCGGTGACTACAAGACTACACAGCCGCGCCCCCGCCCTCTGCACAAAACTTTACCCCCTACACACACTCACACACACTCACACACACACACACACACACACACATTACAAGGCACAGACCACATCTGAGCGCACTACGGGGCTGGCGCGTCACCGCTCCTTTTATGGCACATACACATTTTCTGTGGCGAATTGGTGCTTCACCATGAAACAATAAATTATATTAAAGTGAGATTTATAGCCACCTTCTCAAATTAATCTAGAAATATACGCAATGTCGCGGGCTGCACGCAGAGACTTGGCGCGTACGCACGCAAATGCAAAGATTAGTGGTTCATAAATGAAACCACTTTATACTTTTTACAGGCTCTTTCTCCAACCATGCCGTTAAAAAGGGGGTGCATTTCCTTCCGCTGAGAATAATCTCTTTGTAATTATGTCAGTAATTATTATGTCGGCTTACAGCAGAAATCTCTTGAGCTGCGCAAGTTTAGGCAGTTTTGGCCTGCTCACCGTTTCATTCAACGCCAGGCGATCCCCCCCACCCCTAAACCTCCGAGGTAACACACTGAAAATAATATCCTGCAATGAAAAACGAGTTTATAGAGGCGACAGGCCACACCAGACTTATTTTTTATTTTCTGTATATTTAGCTCAGCACATTTCTGAACATTATTTCTTATCAAAAACTCATTCTCTGCGCGAGTGCGGGGCAGAGAGGAAGAGAAATGAATGTGGCACCTACTTCCAGGCGAACTCCAAATCTGGTGTTTATCAGCTCGGAGAGTTTGTTTTAATTATGCTAAGCTTTATGAGCACATTAGTGATGAATGAAACTCTATAGCCAGCCTGGCGGTGTAGTAAAACTGCGACGGAGCAGCACTACAGTCGGTGTGTTTTCTGTCAGGACAGCTGATAAGAACCAGGTGAGAAGGTGAGGCAGAAAAGTTTATGAGAAGAACCCAAACCTTGACCTGCCAGATGGAGAAGTTTCTGGCCTCCACACCCTCCAACCTGCCCTGCTCTCCCCTCCACTTTTCAACACATTTTCGTCCATCCATTCATCCATCCCTTCCAGTAATCCTGTCTCCCTTTATTGTTTCATTTTATTAGTGTGGGCTTGGTTCACCCTGACGCATCTCCCTGATGCTTTGTGTGCAAAGTGTGTGTGTGTGAGAGAGTGAGAGAATATGTGAAAGAGAGAGAGGGAAGAGGGTAAAGGAGAGAGTCTGTTCTTTCTCAGCTGTTTCTATGGAAATCTAAGATGAACAGGGAAAAAAAGTCTACAAAACATGAGCACATAGGAGACAGATGTGTTCCCTGACTTTCTTCTCACTGACCTAAAAGAAAGCGATGATGATGATGGAGTGAGGAGGTAGCAGGCAGGCATATATGTTCCTGTTCTTTTGCCCCGTTTGGCTTAAGTGTGGCTGTGTTATGACGCCAGGTATAGTGTCTTAATGCAGTTTTAATGTGTATTTTCATCTGTAATCATTTTCTCCACTGTTTTACATCCAATACAATTCTCACAGATCCCCCTTTCCAGGAGTACGCACATTTGCTCTCATACTGCTCAGGTTAAATCCTGTCAGTCTGCCAGCGTGCTCTGATCACAGATTTACTGAAGGTCATTCTGGATTGATTATTGCACACGCACAGTAGTGCTTTATATTCTACACACTGTGCCCAGGTTAGCTTCTCTCTTTACAAACTCATAAAGAGAGTTAAGCAGATTGTTGTGTCAGATTAGACCCACATCCTTTCTCCATTAGACAAATCCATTAGACACACACCCAGCCAATGTTACAACGCTCCTGTGCACAGATGCATACTGGAGCAAATATACACAAATGACAAATACGTAAACACTGAGTTAAGAACTCTAGGTCTTGTCCTGAGCAAGGAGTAAGTGCATAATGGTATAAAATGCTATTTCTCAAACACTTGCCACTTGTCTTAATGCTTGTTTTAGGATGCCTTATACAAATAAAATCTTTCATTTGTCTTCTGTTGGGAAATTCACAGTTTTTTCTGAGGCATATTTTCTGTTTGCAGAGAGGTTCTTAAGTCACCATCAGTGTCCTGGAGATTTAGTGAATTACAGATTTAGAGTCTCTAGGGGAAACATAAGTTAGTGAGTGATTTAGTGTTGAGGCGATCCAGACAGACCTCGGACATCCTGAAACCTGAGGTTGTCCGATGTCGGGGTTAGGACATAATATTTATGAGAAAAACACACAGAGAGGAGAGGAGGACATCTATTTTAAAGCTACCAAACCACATGGCATTTGAACAAAAAAGTGTTTATTCCAGAACCTTTGAGTGTGATAATAAATACATGAGCACTTGGCCAACATCCTAGTGTGGTGCATGAAGCACACACACGCATGCGCAGACAAACACACACACACACACACACCAACACACGAAGCACCGAAACCAGCTTCATCTTGGAAACACTGAAGAAGCCTCCTGTTCAGATCTCCAGCTCTCTGTGTTTGGGTTGGTCCCCTTTACACTGTAAACGCTTAGCAGTGGGGTGTGTGTGTGTGTGTGTGTGTGTGTATGTGTCCTCATATGTGGAAGGCTTTGGTAGGTTTTTTCCTCAAACAGTCCTATAGCTGGATTAACAGTAGTGTTTCACAGTCAACTGGCTGTACATGTGGTTAAACAGGTTAAACTGTCTACTGCTTAACTGTAGCAGAGGTGTCGGCACAGAGCAGAGCTGTAAAAATAAACAGTCATTCAATTTTTAAAAAATAATCACATCAACATCCTTTGTGTCAATTACAAGCCATGGTGAACAGACAATAGCATGAATTGTAAAAGGTGAGTTTGCATTTTTGTGGAATGTGCGAGTGACAATGACAAAATGGATCTCAAGCAGGTTTGTTTAGTCCATGAACGTCTTCGTCTCCTGTGTGCATTTGTGTTTTTCTCATTCGTCTGTGTCTTATACGTGTGTCAGTCGTTGTAATCTGCTGACGTTTCAAGGGTCAGCGTGCAGAGGTGAAGCTGGAGAGAGGGGTGTGTGCGTGTGTGGAGCAGTAGTAGTGCATCCACACACGCACACACGCACAGACTGTGTCAGTGCTAGTTTAGTGATGGGGAGCGGTCGGTGGTCCACAGCAGCTCGATGTAGGGCCACCTGGTCTGTAGGCAACGCTTGACTGGAGTGTCGTCTGTCCGAACCATGGGGTCCTCAAAACCCAGCACCAAAGCCGTCCCTTCCACATATTCCACCTGAGAACACACACACACACACACACCCACACACACACACACACACACAAACACACAACACACACACACACACACACACACACACACACACAGTTAGCTAAACACACAAATTTAAACACTTGTTCCAACTTTGACAGGCTCCAACTCTATCAATCTCTTTTCAGACATTTACTCTGAAGGGGGTCTGGGGTGAGATGCAAGGGATGGATCTCACACACACACGTACCAGCTGCAGGGGACAGGTCTGTTATTCTCATCTGGAGCTACAGGAATGGAATTGCCATCACAACCTTAAAGGCGCCTTGCTGCCATGTGCAGAAGTGTGTGTAGGCGTGTGCTTTTGTGTGGGCACACATGTGGTGCCATTCCTGTATTTTCAGGTAGTAGTATGGAAAAAAGTCCGTACAGACTAGACAAAGCTAACAGATGAAGAAAGTGATATTCCTGAGTAACAGATTTAGCCACCAACTACACACACTGACAATCATCCATCAAACTAAGCCAGCTTAATAGGCCTGTGTTTGACCATTTATCACAGCTAGGCTGCTGACACCGGCTTCCATGTTAAAATGACTTGGAGAAATAGGAGGCTAAGCCAGGGTTTTTGGATGGATGGACAGGCTATTAGGCTTGCAATAGCTACTGTTTATTCTGGAGTGGCAGGTTGCCTCCAACTGTGTGTGTGTGCGCGCGCACGCTTGTGTATATAAATGATGACAGGAAAAGAGAGAAGTAATAGGCAGAGAGACAAAGAATATGAAAAAGGATATTTTCTACTACCATCAGCTGCTATGAAAAACCTAAATATGAAAGAGTGTCTTACCCTCTCGTTGTGGTTAGACTGTTTAAGTCCATTGTAGTGGTAGATGGGAAATGAGTCTGGAATTCCTGAATCCTGAAACACAGGCGGGGAGCAAAGTGAAAAACATGCAATGTTGTTAAAGAGTCTCGGGGCAAACTGTTCTCACAGAGATGGAGCTGAAGTCCCTAGGAGGCAGAACATTGTTGAATCGAAAAGTCAAACCGACACATCTCTGCCTGCAACCAAAGCTTAATATTGAATCCCATGTGTTAAATTTAAATGTGTCTGTGTGTATTTGTGCACTGAAGCAAAGCCAAACTCCAATTACCAAAAAAGCAGCCAACACTACAAAAACGTCCGAACAATGACATTGAGCCAAAACACTTCCCATGACTTTGGCCAAAGGTGCAGAATGCTAATAGGGTGTGTTGTCTGAGAGCGTGTCCAGCTTCTCGTGTTTATATGCCTATATATGAAACCCTAACCCTCACCCCAATCCCACGTGTGTCTGAGTGTGTGTGTGTGTGTCCAGTTGGCTAATGGTAGTATAATTTCTTTGCGGCGCAGGGGCCATTCCTCTGGCGAGTCCCTAAAGCCCTGATCACTTTAACACAGTTCCTCTATCTCTCCCTCTCTCGTCTCCCTCGCTTACTCTGCCTCATAAAAAGGCGTCTTTACCGCTCTTTCAAAGCTTTTCAGCAAGCAACGTCATATGATGGTGAACACGCACGCATACATTTTACATGAGACACCACAGGAATGTTTTTGGCATAAAAACCTTTGATTTGCTGTAACAACACTCTGCTTGGGAAATAGACATTACTGTCATCTGTACAGTATGTGTGTACATGACATTTTGTGCATGTGTTTTAACTGTAATACAGATTGTATGACTGGTGGAAGGTATTTGTCATGTGTTTTTAAAGTCCACCACTGCACTGCACGCATGCACGCACACACATGTATACCTGATCAGGGAAAAACTCCAACAGAAATGGCCCCAGAAGGATTATGCCCAAACTCTCCGGATCCAGCTTACTCTTCACCAGACTGACACTGAGAAGGCACAGAGATAGAAATAGGAAAGGAAGTAAATAAAAAAAAAGAAAAAAAAAAGTGAGTCGAGGAAAACAGATCCAGAAATCCAGAGAGAAAACAAAAAAGAAAGAAAGCACATGCAGCTCAAAATAAAAGAGGGGTTGAAAAGAGCCACAAGATTAGTAAAAATACAACAGTCAGTAATGTTTTCTGTATGAAAACCAACAAATTTAGAGCACCTCATCACTCAGTGTGGATGATGCGTGTTTTGGTGAGTATGCGCATGTTTTCATGAATACCGTGGTGCAACTAAATATACCTCTTTCCAGACATTCCTACGGGTTAGATCAGTGTTATCGTTATTCTGCTGTGATAAAAAAAAAGAAATCTGGTCAGATTGCCCTTTTAAGGCAGTGAGGAGAGAAGCAAGGTTTATACTGAGACACAGAGGGAAGGCAATGATGTTTCTCCATCTATCGATTTCTAAAAGAAGCATGTGCAGCCCGATAGCATACAGAGCAGACGGTGACCCAACCCAAAGTGTCAGTGAGCAGCCCTCTAAATACTTAAACACCCAGATTTATCAGATGAGCTGTTCTATAGCGAGTCTTCTGCTTCCTTTACAGGACAGTGAGAAAAAGTTAAGTGAATACTTAAAAACTGTATCAGGTGAACGGTCATAGCATCATCCAAAAGCAGAATACTGAAACTCAACAAATAAATAGTCTTTTGTTGTTTTTTTTGCCCACAATAAACAAGAAGACCATTTATCTGTGAGTGCCGGTATTCTGTTTGAAGTCAGAAAAAGAGAACATATCCTCAGGGGTCAATAGAATATCTCCTTTTTATCAACATGTGGTTGTGTGTTGAAGGGGATCAGAGGAATACGTTGTTTGTTGTGGGTTTGCACTGTATCCACTGCATGACTGTATATGACTTCATCTGAAAATGGACTGGACATGAGATGATGGTGTATGCAAATGCCTTTGTTGAGCATGCTACAGCCATCCCTGTTTGGGTTATAATGTAGTCAGCTGATGTTTGTCTGGACCAGTGTATATCGATCATTTGTAACTGTACTGTCTTTGAGAATTACATACAGACAAATAGTAGGAAGGAGATAATCTGTGAATATTTTTCACACATTTGAATGTTATATTTGCTTGAATTGTACAAATGGAACATTTCAACCTGTTAACATCGCTTGGAAATGTCATTGAATGACACTGGATTGGATATTCTGGATTTGATCCAGTAAAAGGGAGAGTGACTTTGAGGACACAGTAATAACCAAGGAAATTAAATGGGAATGTGCTGAAATGAAATTATATCTGATTAATTCATGTTTCTGATGCTAATATGCATCAGATGTTTGCAGAGAGGCTTCATGTTTTTAGTGAATTCACATTAATTCATGCATACATTCAAATTTAATTACACAAACAAAACCACAATAAACAAGAATTTCCTGTTTTTGAGATCTCAATTATGAATAACTAACCAAACACAATAAAACAAATGATCAAGGAACTATAATTCCTTGGAGCTGTATCCTGACTTTTCCTGAGAACAGTCCGTGTCGAAAAAGTTGGTTTACCACAAATAGTAGCAGCAGCTTATGGTCATAGGTCATAAGATATGTAGAAATTACTAAGTCACAGACAACTTAAAAACAGTTTGCACTCATGTTGCATAAGTGATGAAAGTCTTCAATTTAGTACTTGTAGATACTCCTATTAATCATTTTTCCCCCAGCACTAAAGATGCTACTTTTTCCCATGGTGGAATCCCTGCAATAACTCTCTCATTGTGTGGTAAGGAATGAGACTCGGCTGTTTTCACTGGGAGTCTCCCCCCAGTTTGCTGTGTTGTGATGTATCGCCCATCTGGGGGTCTGCAGAGCTGATCAGTGGTCCAGTTACTTGGCCAGGCCCATGGCTGCAGTGTTAGGGGCTTACTGTCCCTCAGATGAGAACGTGCTTCTGTTTGAAGCGGCACTTTAAAGCGTTTCCTCCCTCTCTCAGTCTTTCTTCCTGCCGTTAATGATCTCCCTCTAAGCCTCTGTTTCTGACTTGTCTTTCTTTCATTCTTTCTTTCTTCCTGAGCTTTTATAGTGGTCTCTCTCTGGTCTTACATTTTAGTAGCGTAGTAGTGAAACATGAGCACAGGGCTGCTGACCTGGCCTGGCCGTGACTTAGGAGTTAGAACTTTAGAGGCTCTACAGGTGCCACACACACACACACACACACACAAATTGAAATACACACACAAACAGAAAGCCTTGAACATGCAAGCACTTACTACTCAGGCTCTGAGACAAGGTCAAGGGCTTTCATCACATCCTCCAGCAGAGACTCTGGGATGAAGCCATTATCTGGAGGGAGAGAGAGCGAGAGAGAGACTTAAAGAAAGACTGATGCACTGGCTGACCCCGGAGAAAAACTAAAATACAGGCTTCGGCTGAAAACTAGGGGAAGCCTTCACCCACAACCATATGGCACAAGCACTATTTACATCACAGGCCTTGGGGAATTAACTCATCTGACACAACTAAATAAAAAGCACACAAGCACACACACCTTGTCCTTTCTCTCTGACCTACATTCCGTGGCCGTGATGATTGCTTTACCTGAGAGGACAAGCTTTAAACACTAACATGTGTTTTTGTCCGAAAGAGTATTTGTGTGTTGGGGGCACTTACAGTTTTGTTTCATTTAAACATAGGCATGTGAGCCTGTGTGGCCTGTCGCTTAGATACATACATAAACCCCTAGTGTGTTGTGAAGAAGATTAACTGACGAGCGCTCTGCTTGTCCGCTCTCGAGCAACTCAATCCCGTCTTTTCAATGCCAGATGTTATTCTCTGTGTGACAATTGACAGTCAGGGTACACACACACACACACACACACGACACACAACACACAACACAACACACACACACACACACCACACAGCACACACAACACACACACAACACACACACACACACACACACACACACAACACACAACACACACACACACACACACACACAATACAGAGACAATGACAAACACAAAATACTAAAGAACAATCTGATAGGTGTGGATTGCTGAGTGTGTAATGTCTGGTGAGTTAGTTGCAGTGCGTGTGAATGCGTCTGGCGCCCTTTTTCCACAACACAGGGAGCTGTGCTGACTCTACACATGACACAGACAGATTTATGGCCCTTTTACACAGCACTCAACTGTGCTGCTAGCTACGGCATGTGTGTATATGCTGCGGTGAGTGAACATGTGTGTCAAGTACAGTAGGACATCCTCCTTGCATGTGTGTATACATGCACATTTATGTTGATGGACGCACCTACTGTGGCCCCCGCATATGTTTGTGTGTGTGTGTGTGAGAAAGGACCATATGGCTTGAAGAATGTCTTGGCAGATGATAGCAGAAGTGGATTTGAGAATGTGCAAAGCGGTATTTTGTGCAACAGGAAAAGACAGATGAAGAACAAGGGGGGAAAAAAACAACAGACAGTTAAGTCTACATATTTGTTGTCGAAAGTTGCAGGCGAGACTGCTTTTGGCTGGTTGGATTCATTTCGTTGTAACTCTGCGCACACACACATAGATCTCTAAAAAAATCTGCACGTTGTTCCTACAAGACACATAGTGAATAATGTTTAATGGCGACAGAGAACAGCACACTTCATTTCACAATATAAACACATTAATATGAAGGTGCGTGTTATTGCCAAAGATTTAGTCAGGTCCTCAGCTGAGCACTCTTTCGACATGGATAGCTCCGAGTGTGTGATGTTAACATGCTAATGTCTCGAGTGGGAGCCCTCATCTCTAAATCTCTCCCTCCTCTCTCTTGTCTCCACAGCAGAAGAAAAACACAGGATATGTTAAAACTATTCAATTTCTATTCTCCTTGTTGTCTCTAAGTGCTCATGAATGCTCAAACATTCTGCACTATATTATTGACGCTTCTACAGACTTTTAGTTCTAATCTGACATGTCGAACCTCTCTTTAACTTTTTATTGTCACTGTGTCGCTCTCTCTGTCCTTCCCCTCAACTTTAACTCAGTCACCTGAAAGTGACAAGAAAGGAGATTTAGGAAAAGCGAGGAAGACGGGGAAGGAGCAGGATGGTTGACTCAGCTGTAAGAGGAGCTGATCTCACCAACCTAACAACAGTGGAGACGAGAGGAGGGAAACGGACTCTCGTTCTGCCTGCAGAAGAAAATAATGGAGACAAGAAACAAGAGGCGAGGAGGGCAGTTGAGGTTATAAATGCATCTGCTCAACCAGGAAGAATGGGGAGGGGGGGGGGACACAACAAGGCCAGGATATTGTTTGCTCAGTGTGTGTCGCTGTGTTAGAGTGTACGTTTCAGTGAATTATAGTTTAATTATATATATCTGTGGGCCAGTATTTTCATATAGCTGGTGTACTAAAGAGCAAATAAAAAAAACAATGGTCTATAAAAACAAGTGTGCAGGGGGTGAATGGCGGGAGACGTAAATCATTAGCAACATAAAGATAATGTATAAAAACACAGAGTACCAACACTTGTTCATTACCTTCAGGATCAAATGACTGGAAGACCCTCCTTGCCTGTTCTGACGGAGACTCTGGGCCTACCAGGGACATCTCCTATTGAGACAGAAAGCCAGGAAAGAGAAACAGAAAGTTAGGAAAAAATAAATGAGCGTGGAAGAAGGGAGGAGAATGAGACGAGCAAAGTCAGTGATTGTGCGTGACAACATGAAGAGCTATGACCTAAAAGCGATTAAAGTGAAGAGACTGAAGGGACTGCAGTAAGACAGTGAACAGAGTAGGGAGGAGAGGAAGAATTAGATCACATTATGGGATAATGTGGCTTTGTCAGAGCTGAAACATTAGATCAGTGCAGTGTGAAGCAACAGCCATATAGACCTACTAACAACTAACAGACTTTGATTGTCCTTGACAAGGTTTAGCAGCACTAATGTGCAACACACCACAGTGATGTATATCCACATACAGTAACACCCATTGCAGCAGTGTGATGCTCTCCTAATGTAAACTGTACATGTATGTATGTGTATGTGGGTGTACGTGTGTGTGAGTGTGTGCGTGCGTGTGACTATGTGTAATCTAAGGGCCCAGTGCAATCACCGGAATCCACTGGGTTATTAACTGATCTGCTGATAAAGTTCGACGTCTTGTTTTCACTCCAAACACACAATCAGTAAATCAAATCTTACATATACAGCCCGTGATTTATGACGAGCTCTGCAGTATTTGTTTGTTGGTGAAGTTTAAAAGGAGCAGTGTTGGCAGGGAGATCAGAAATGAGGGGGCGGGTATATGCATGAACAAGAGGGTGATGCCCCTTTCGACTGGCCTACAATGTATATGCTGATTAAAATTAATACTTCCTTACTCTCTACACGAAGGGCCTCAGCGTGCCTCAAACAAAGTGCTTGTCAGATCATCTAACAGCATTTAAAATCCCCTCTTCTCAAGATGGGAATTGGAGAGAATTTTTGTAACTTAGTGAAACCTAGAATCTGATAAACATCACTTCTGTCAGGTGTGAAAGTAGGTTTACACTTCTCATGCTCCCCGTTTTCATTTTTCAGTCAGTTTCAGGCTCATTTTAAGATAACAAAAAAAACAATTCTCCAATTTTATTTTCATTTGATTTTCAAGTGATAATACACTAATTAAAACATACCTTTGAATATTATATTCAATTTCTGCCAAAAGATCCTCCTAAATGTTACACTCTAACACTGTAAATCCAAAGACCTGTGACAAGCCTTTTCTCACGCCCCCTCTTATCTTATATACTTAAGCATTATGTGACAGCTCTCAGCTCAAATTAAACAGCTGGCTAACCATCAGAATCTGATAAGCAACATAGCAAGCAAACCATGGCGAGGAGTGCAAAGGTGTTCCTTGTAAATATCTTTCATATCTATCATTAATAACCTAAAAGTTTAAGATAAAGAAAAAAACGCTCAGAGGAGATAGAAGGGATATTTATACAAAAGAGGATAAAATGAGATACTTCTCAAAAAGATGGCTCACACACACTCTCAGAAAGTCACACAAAGGAGAAAGTCAGAGGGTTCTCACTGTTCTTTCATAAGAAAGCGGGAGGGAGTGTATTTATGACAACCGAGAGCTGGACAAACACACAATGTTTTTGGAGAGCAAATTAACCCTGCTCATCTCCTTTAGCTGGCCTTTATTAAAGCTTGAGCCTCAGATCCACGCAGGCTGCTAGGGTTTCACGGTCCACTTATTACTGTATTTAGGGCTTACACAGACAGAGAGAGAGAGAGAGAGGAAGAGAGGGGTTTCAGGGGAACACATCGAACGGAGATGGCTCCCAGCTGCTGGCTCTTCATATGCAAAGAAAAACAGGCAGAGCCTGGCGAACACGCACTCACACATTGTTCTGTCACACAAAGTATAGCAGGGTCCTGATGTGTTAACATTACAGGCTCCATAAATCTGACGGTAGATTTGTCATTAGCTAGATATGTCTGTTTCACTTACACGAGTGGACAAGGGTCATTTTGCCTGTCCCGGGAGGAATAAATTGCCAAAAAAAGTGCCTTAGCGGTCGTCTGTGGAAGAACGATGAACTCACTAAATGAAGGATTAATAGTGTATGTAAGTATGTATCTTGAAACACGAACTGTTTCGAAAAACTTATATTACACTTACACAACAGTATACCTGAACTACCAAAACACATATCTCTTCCCAAAGTGATGAAAAGTTCATGATGAAATCAATCTTAGGCTGCCATATACAATCCCGCCGCTGAAGCCTAATGTGCCTCGTGAACACAGTTTATCATCTTCCCGAGCAGGATGGACACAGTCTGCGTAAATCACTTGGTAACACCACATTACAGGATGTCAACACTTTAGCAGAAGACAAACACCGGTAAGTGGTCATTCACAGACAAAACAAAACACACTATTAGAATAGAAAAAAAATAGACAAAAAGACAACGACTCACATAAGCACAAGACCATGGACATACACACAGACACACATAACGGCAGCAGGAATTACGTGACTGTGTGTATGTGATGACAGGTCTGCCTGGCTGTCTTTGATCTGTGTTTTATTAGAGGCCTGAGGAAGATGCTGCTGAGTTGGAAAACATGTCATGGAGCTAACACACTCCACAGGGAAGGTATGTGTAAGTGTGTGTGTTTGTGTCTCAGCGTTTCTTTCCTCTCGATCACACTTGTGTTATGATGTGTGCGTCTGTGTAAGAGAGGAAATCTGTGCAATAATTAAGCTTGTCCCCTGCCAAAATGGGTTTGCTTACACTAGAAAACAAGATGGTTTTCTATTCCGTCTCCATCTGCGCAAATATTCATTCTCATGCAGAGTTACAGTACCAATGACTCACACTAACACTTTTGCACTGATGCCAGGTCCTTTGTAAGTGTGTCTTATGAAATCAAGGAGCACATTCCGATCCCCTAAGTCTGACCCTAACAGAGCAACAACAAGCTACCCTATACAGGAACAAAGCAAGAACAACACACACGCCCGCACGCACACACACCACCTGAAGGACTTACACAAGAATACACAAAGTAATACAGAACATTTGCTCTGAGCAAAACCAGAAAACATTATTGGGACCAAACATGCCTCGTTTGAGAGCCAACCATTTCAGATGATCAAAAGTGCTTTAGTGTGAGCGAGCAGGATTGTGTGTCTTATTAGTAAAAGTAGCAACGTGTAACATATGACCAGAATTCTAGTTGATGAATGTTAAAAACATTGATAAAAAAAACAAACAATAAAAACTAACATGAACAGAACATGAAGAGGTAACCGCTACAGCGACATGTCAGACGTTCTTGTATTGTGTTCCAGAGATATTTACTAAAAGTAGCATGCTAACCTGACTAGCTGTGGCCCCTACTGTCCTGTTAAAGCACTTGTGCCTCAAAAGAAGATAGCGAGTCACTGTAGTGTCCAAGTGGAGAACGAGGCGAAGCGATGGGACAGAGCTACTGTTAGCCAAAAGACAGCTGCTGTAGCTCAGGGCATCTCTGGGGATGCTGGAAGCACATGGAGGAAGAAACACCCGTAGTCACGCTGGATTCTGCTCTGATGTAAAGCTGTTTATTGGCGGGAGGAGAGTTCGGAATTTATTTTTTAAACTTTTTGGATTTAAAAATTGTATTCATCTTCACTCTCGCTTCTCAACCTGTCTGTAGCTATCTGCACCTCTGTTGCTCTCTCCTAACTAGACTTAGTGGCTCTCTTGGGTTGACATCTCATCCACTGTAGGCTGGTTCCCTCTCTTGTCCAATTGTACCCCTTTTTACCTGCCTTTTCCTGTGCTAAGTAGGTACTCCAGTTTTGGAGTATTTCCTGCCTTCCCACCCTTGACTTTTTCGTCCATTCTCCCTTCCCCCTTTCATCCTTTATCTTCTCCTGCAGGTAGGTACTTCAGAAAAGACAGGTAGACATAGTACTTTACTAGAGTTACTCTCCTTCCCTCCGGTCCACCTAAAGGGCTATTGTGTGTGCTGAGAGGCTCTGAGTGGCCATAGAGTGCGTCTGAAGGGATCGGTTTCGAGACAACAAAGCAGAGGTCTCGGACAGTGTCTCCTGCCTTGTTCCTAGCAGGCAGCAACAGCCTCACTACATGACAGGCTGAGGAGAAAACTAAGGAGGAGTCTGTCTGTGAGGGCTTGTTATGTAGAGTGTATGTGTGCTTGTATGTGTGCGTGTGTTGTTCACCTCAACTAGCCTGTGTCCCATGTGATTACGAATACAGAAAACAATGAAAAACCTCCCTCACTTTCTACAGAGTGTGCAGTATCTACAGTATGTTGGTGTGTGTGTGTTTCAGGTGTGACAGACAGGACAAAGTAGTGATTTATGGAGCTGTCTTGGATGAGAAAGACCGTGTCTCACCAGAAAATAGAGGAGACACCAGAGGAAATTATATAGCGCAATGATGGGTCCTATAACAGAGAACGACACACAGGGGAAAAGTAAGAATAATGCAGCACACACACACTGACACAGACAGCTTTTCATCATACTACAATGGCCCTTGGTCTGACCTGACACAGATTATTAATGACTGTTAATGTACACTGCTTTGTTGTTTTGTGCTTGTGTGTGGCCCGCACCCTCTGATCATAGGAAGAACAGAAAGTAATGCTCTTTAACAGGAGTTAAAGAAGTTAAGATAAAGAAATCTTAAGTTATACTCTAGTCGTTTTTCTGCTGTTCTAAAATATTATTTTTTGTCTTGTTACAGATACCTTTCAGTACACTAAGGGAACAAGCATAAATCAATATTATTGCTTGTTAGCTCAGCAGTGTCATCAAGTTATCACTTTCAAACTTCTGTTGTCCAAATGAAGCTGTGATTAAAAATGGCTTATATATGATTTTCCATAGTTTGCCATATAACAATATATCAATAATGAGCTACAAAACACATTCAGTTTCTGTGATGTACGACTCTAAACACAAGGCTGTCTTAGTAGCTTTGACACCTGAGCAAATTCCATTGACTAAAGAAGGCTGTGTGGTGCAGTTTAAAGCTCTTGAAAAGGGTAGCAAATAAACCTCGAGTTAAGAATATTGTATTATACATTATACATATACATATTATAAAATATTCCTAATATTTGGATAATTCTAAGTATATCTCTGCCCTACTGGTAATGCAATAAATGTACTGTGGTTATGCCAATCAAGCTTCACTGGAAGAAATTGACCTACATTAACTGTGTGTGCACACTTGTGCTTTTCCTGCTCCTTACCAGTCCTTGAAGGACATTTTGCGTGTGTGTGCAGACAGCAGCACGAGTCTTAAGGGACGCAGAGCGCCACAGCGGCTCCTCTCTCTCCTAGTAAATCACTGACCCAGAACAAGACTACTGTACACATATGCACACAAAAACACACATGTAACTCCCTCGAGAGGCAGACACACAGCCTGTGAACCTCATCACTCAGTGAGGAGAGTAAAGAGCGATGAGAAATGTCACAGGAGGATCCCTCCACACCCCCGCCCTTTCCTGAGTGACCACTGCACCATTCCTTAAAGTGCATCCTTCCTTTCAACTTCCTTTCTTCCGTTTTCCTTCCCATGTGGGACCAATAATCTGAAGAGGTTGGCTGAGGTGCACTGGGGAATCCTTTTCTTGGGCAACAGACCCAATGTACACTGGAGTGGATGGTTACTTCAAATACAAGATGAGGAAAAGGAAGTAGGAAAGAATCCTTTTTTAAAACATATTGCATGATATGTCTCATCCATCATCCCTCTTCTCCTTCACTCCTGTGTCTGTCTCTCTTTCTTTCTATCCTTCCTCGGGCGTCTCAGAAACTCTTGTCCAAAAACAGATCCCATTACATGCCATTATACACATTCAGCCTCTTTCTCACATGCACACACACACACACACATTAATACAACAGAGGACAGAGAGGGAGTGTGGGGGGTGTTGTGGGTAGGGATCAGAGATGGTGGAATGGCCTTTGTGTAGGTAGATTAGATAAAAACACTAATGCTATTAAGCTGATGGTCTGAAAGCCACAGTCACACACTGACAGCGACTCAGGGGAATACACACCCGTCCCCAATGGCAGACAGAAGGAGCCGCTGACACATCAGAGGCAGGGATCAGGTTTTCTGCTTTTGTGGGGATGGCTCTATATCAGAGTTAAAAGCTACATAACCAGGTAGCGTGTATTTTTGTATCACAAAGCCTGGGAAATCTCAGTGTACTTGAAATTAGCTCTAAACATAGGCTCCCATTCAAGGAGGATAGGGTCACACTCGGTAAAGTCTACCAGCTGAGCACCCTTGCCCTACGTGTTACCCCTTCAGGCTCAAAGCTGTACAGCCGGCAGAATGTAGCGTCAGCCATGTACGTCAGTACATATGCATGCGTGTGTGTGTTCAAGTGTGTTCCAAGTCTCCAGCGGGACAAATGGATCCAGATGGGAACTCATTCCCTACAGGAAGCCATCCACCTGAAGCCACACACACATACACACAACACTAATGCTAATCAGGATTAGGTTCCCTGTGCTTTGGAATGTGTGTGTAAGAGTCAGACTATTTGTGTGTGTGTATATATGTGAACATGTCACTTGTCCCGGGGGAGTTGCAGCAATCGGTAAGTCATCAGCGAAAGCATGACGACTTTGGGTCATCACTGAGCCAACACATGATCCACTCGCCTAGCAGGCTTGAGCTTAATGCATGTAACTGAGCTTTTAATCAATGGTATATTAAGGGTGTGGCGTTATGATGGAGATGATTGCCTGGGATTTTTCTGTATCTCTGGTGCCATTTTCCCCAACAGGCAGGGAGAATCGATTTGCGACAACCAAACCTGCCAGCTTTAGTACACGAGCTACAGCCATGTATTATGTTACAGGTTCACTGATAGAGATGATAAACATGCTTGTTTGAGTGCAAACTGGGTGAGTGTGTGTGCCCAGGCATACGCACACATCCACA